TGTCTTGAGGGAGATTTTAATGCATACAAATTATCTCTGGAGAAACTAGGAGGGGGATGTATGACCAAGTCCATGGGAACTTTAAAGATTTTATAGAAGATTATGAGTTGAGGGATCTCCCTCTAGCAAATGGTCAATATACTTGGTCATGGATAGAAACGGACTCGTCTCTTCCAAATTGGACCACTTTCTGATCTCTGCTCATTGGGAGGATAGTTTCTCGACCTGGTACAGGAGATTCTCCTACTTCTTGTATCAGATCACTTCTCTGTTTTACTTGAATCTTAGCAAATTGGAATGGGCTCTACTCCTTTCCAGTTTGAGAATATAAGGATTCACCATCCAGTGTTTGAGGGCTTTGTGAGAGAGCGGTGACAGGCTAACAAAGAGGTAGGTCGGAATGTCATAAATTCACCCAAAAACCTAAATACTTGAAAGGAAAGCTGAAGGTTTGGAATGAGGAGGTATTTAGGAACTTCAGCTTAAGGAAAACAAGGGTACTTGATGAGATGAGAGAGCTAGACAAAGAGAATGCGTACATCTTTGTCCTTCAGAAAGATCGCCTACAAGGTCTAAGAAGGGAATAGATGAGGTGATGTTACTTGAGCATAGGAGTTAGAGACAAAAGACCAAACATAAATTGTAAAGGAATGGGATTCAAATACTTGCCTATTCCATGGAGTGATAATGGACGAAGAAGGAAGAGCTTAATTGAAGAGCTTGGACTTGATAATAGGATGGTGGATAGGCGAGACAATAATATTGTAACCTATACACTGAAGATTGCTATAATTAGACTTTTTGTAGAAGGAATTAAGTGAGCACCAATTCAGTGTATAAGACTGACTGGTTGGAGAGACCCTTTGAGGAGGAGGAAATAAGGAGGGAAATTTGGGATATGGCAGTGACAAAGCCCAGGTCTAGACAATTTTTACAAAGGAATTCTTTCAAGGTTGCTGGAAAACAATCAAAATGGATGTTCTTAAAGGGTTTGAGGAGTTTTACCTTAATGGCACCATATGCAAGAGCATGAACTCCTCATTTATCATGTTGGCATCTGAAAAAGATAAGTCTACTAAGATATTTGATTATTGCCCAATCAGTTTAGTGACGGGTGTTTACGAGATAATCACTAAAGTTCTTCTTTTGAGACTTAGTGAAGTCTTGGATGCTAAAATTTTGTTAAACCACTTTTGTGAGAGGTAGACAAATCATAGATGTCTTACTGGTTGCAAATGAGCGGTAGAGTTCATTAGGAAGACAAAGGGAAATGGGCTAATCCTAAAATTGGACTTCAAGAAAGCATATGACAGGGTGAATTGGAAATTTCTTGGAGTCATGAAGCGGAAGGGATTTGGAGTGAAATGGGAGGTTGAATTCATGGTTGTCTAGTTTGTTTTTTTTTTTGTTTTTTTTTTCTCTTTTGAGATTAAAATTCATGGTTGTCTAGCGTCCATTTTGTTTGCTGTTATTTTTAATGGAAAACCCCAAAACTAGTTTAAGGCTTCGAGGATTTAACGCAAGGAGACCTCCTTTCGCCCTTCTTGTTCATCCTAATTGTTGATGTCATGAGTAAGATGTTGTCTGAGGCAGTAGAGATGGGCATGATGAAGGACAGAGAGGTCGAAGGGATAAGGTGGAGATTTCCTACTTTTAATTTGCCAACTGTACAGTCTTGTTCTTGCAGGCCTGAGAATAAACATGCAAAAGAGTGGTCTAATTGGTATAACATAGAGGATTTAGTGATTGACTTTCTTGTGGAGTTCATAGATTGCTCTAGATTAGCTTGGCCTATTGTCTTCTTATGTGTCCCCTTGGGGGGAAATCCAAGGGGAGTGCTTTTTGAGATATGGTGGCGAGTAAAGTGGCTAGGTGGTTAAAGAGTAGGAAAGAGAGATTGTTTTCTTTGGAGGGAGGGTTACTTTGAGATAGTCTTATCGAGCTAGCATTCTCTTTTACTATCTGTCTCTGTTCAGAATCCCTTGTCGCATAGCTGAGAGATTAGAAAGCTTTATGCGACGGTTTTTATGGGCTAGTGTAGGAGAGGAAAGTAGAGACCATCTAGTGATGTGGAATTGTTTACTGTCAGCCTGAGAGTTCAGAGGCTTTGGGTATTGGGAATCTGAGGTCAAAGAACATATTTCTACTGGCAAAATGACTTTGGCTTTTTTCACGTAAACTGAACTCATTATAGCATAATGTTATTAAAGCATCCACGAACGAACAGGTGGGACGTCTTCAGTACAAGTTCCAGCACTCACCCTAGTCCTTGAAAATCCATCTCCTAGGTCTGAACCTTGTTTACTCTAGTCACCAGTTTTCAGGTGGGAGATGGATCTAGAGCATTGTTCTAGGAAGGCATTTTGGTTGGAGAAAACTGTTAGCATCCAAACTCTCTCGACTGTACAACCTCTCCATAAGAGACAATGCCATATTACTTTCACTTTGAAGCCCAGAGGAAGTTTCTCTGGGAACTTCCATTTTACTGGACACCCATTCGATAGAGCGACTTGCAATATCTTTCATTGTTAGACTTTTTGGAGCCAATTCATTTCTCACCTTAACCTGATAACAGAACTTAGATCCTTGAGCAATCTAAGTTGTATACATGTAAGTCTTTCTTTGATCCCATCACATATAATCTCCTTAGCCGATTTCACATTGCCAATATATTTTGTAATGCTCTGGTTCTAACAAAGGTAAATGTGTTATCTTGAACTGCCTTCCATCAGAAGCTTAACATGAATGATATGTTTCAAGTTTGTATACCAAATTGAACGTATCTTTGAATATATACTTCATGTGCAGGGGAAGCAAACTCACTCTCACCTGTTTCTACATTGTGTCACTGCTTGGAGGTTTTGAACTAATTTAGTTAGTGTTTCTGGATTGAACTAGGTTAACCCCTCAAATGGGCAAACTCTTCTGTGCTCTTTCATTCATAGAAAAGTGGTCAAGAAGAAAGCTGAGCCTCTTTCATAAGGGGCTATATTTGCTGGGTTGTGGTGTTTATGCTCTCTCGAAATGGCGGATCTTTAAGGAACATCATGCATCTTTTCACGAGTTATGGGGTAGAGCTAACTTATTGGCCTACCCATTGGGCTAAAGCGAATGGACACAATCATGATAATAGTATTTCAGCAAATTCATCTTAGTTGGAATACTTTTATTTGTAGCTGATAGGGTGGTATCACTTTGTTATTAGTTTTTTCTTTTTATGATTCTTTAGGTAGGATCCTTTATTCTCCGGGTGTACATTATATTTCTTCTCATTGTTCCTAATAAATCTTCTTCTTTTGTCTTAAAAAAGAACAAAGATTTGGTACTATTTATGCATGGGTGAAGCGGAATCCTGTAACAACATGCTGTTATGGTGTCCTACTGCTTACAGCCCTTGGTGCATGATTTACGGATTACTGGGTTTAATTGCATCATGGCGGGGTCGGTTAGGGAGGAGGTTTAGGCTTGGGATGGTTTGTGTAAAATGATTGATTTTGTAAAGATTGTTTTATTGTCTATTTTTTGGATCCTATGGAAAGAAAAAAATAGTAGAGATTTTGAGAGTAGATAGAGAGAGAATTGTAAACTGAAAAATAGGTGGCTGTATTATTTTAGCTTTATCTTGTTAGGGTATGACATTGTTAGGATGAAGTATTTTAGAAATGTCATTGACACCCTAACACAATTGTAAATATTTGTATACGGGTGATATCCCTTTTGGTACCTTATTAATATAGTTTTCGCACTTTTTGTTTAAAAGAAAAACAAAGATTTAATAGTCTTGAGCTGTGAAGTTGTCGTTATTATTGTTTTTTTTTAAAATATAATTTTGAAGGATGGTTGAGATTTACTGCTGAAATGACAGAGAGAAGTTCAAGATACATATTTAGTGAAGGAAAAGGGACAAATACAACTAATAGTTTTCTAAGTGGAGATTTAGTTAACAATAATTTTGCTAATACATGAAAACAAAGAAATCTTTTTTAGTGTAAGAACATGGATACCACTGTTTTCGGTACAAAAGTTCCTACAGTAATTGGAAAAACCTTTATGTGCAATTTGATTTACCTAATTAGGAGTAAACAAATTAGATTTATGATGAAACCAAGAAATCAATCAATAATCTAATGAGTACCATGATTGACTTCAACAAAAAGTTGAAGAGTAACCTAATCATTGAAGTATTGAGTAACATGATTCACTGAAGCCCTTGGAAATTCATCACGCGTGTACATTCTTCTTCTTGTATTTTGGTAACTTGGGATGGGGGATATACAAGGAAAACTACAAGCAATAAAATGTTAAGTTATTGTGGATTAGCAAAAGCTGAAACTCTTGTAAGGTTTGCACATTTTGTTAGGTCTGTTCGGGAGGTGAATGTGGCATCGAAGCCCAATTGATGTGCACTCAAGCTTTAATGCTGCTTTATCCAGATATTATACATAATCTTAATTTTTTACAGCAAAAACTTACGATGTTTTAGTGGGGCTTATTTTGGTCATTTTACTGTATCTTTTTCTGGATATAAATGTAGTTCTTGACATTGATTCAGATTATGTTTGAAGAGTACTCTTTTAGAGTAAATGGTTATTGTCCACAAGTATAGGTGAATGCTTATTTTCATCAACCTTTGGCAACATTTTGGAATCTTATTCTTCATCTGTGTTGATTGTGCTTTTCATCCTCCTCAAGGTGCCAATTTTTTCAGAAGAACAATGATATATCACCTCCTTGAAGTACCCATAATGGGAGGTCGTAACATTTGTAATAGTCTGGCTACTAGATATCCAACATTAACGCAACCTTGATAAAAGTTATATGAAACTTAACGGATTTGACACATGCTCTTCTACACATCTTACACTCAGAACTAATTCCAAGTACTACATGTTTATTTATTGAAGCTTGGGAAACTAGATGCAGCTTCTTTTAGTTAATGCAGGTCGATTGTTGTCCACATAAATACTCAAGTATTTACGAAATTTGTGTGCATGTTGCAGGGTTTGCCGCATAGTCGGAATAGTCACATTGTGGTGAAGGCCCAATCTGATGAGGTAAGGTTCTTTCCAAGTTTTTCATTAGAGGATCTGTTTTCAAATATTTCTTCCTTTTTGGACACGCTTTTGGGATCACATATTCCCTTCAAGGTTGCTTCTGGTGGATCATCAAATGTTAAAGATACTTCTACACAATCTGAAGCATCTGTAGTTGAAGAAAAGGATGTTAAACAATCGAATGAGCCTTCTTCAACTGGTTTGGCTACAGAGGAGTCTATCTCTGAGTTTATTACTCAAGTTGCAAGTCTTGTAAAGTGAGTGCTCTCAATCTTATTAGTATGCACTTCCCTTTTTTTTTTGAGATAAAAGTGAGTGAATATTAGTAAGCACTTCCTTTAAATTAGTTTATCCGCAATTATAGTTGAACTTGTTGAAATTTTTCTTCTTATGGAGAATTTCTATTTTCTAGTGGATTCGAAGAAAGGAGGAAAAGCTGATCCCGTAGCTAAGACCCCTTCAGGCCCTAAAAACATACACAATGCCACCATTAACAATAACTACAAAAAAAGGTGGTGGAAATGTACTGCCTTCATCGAGGAACAGCATCTATCTTTGAAGCCAAATCTTCTTATTATATAAAACTCAAACTCCCATGACGTATGATGATGTAGAGAAGATATACTTAATACGGGTTACTGTTATTATTTAAAAAATTAATAATTTATTTTAGGTTTATATTCCTAAATAAGATTGTAATCTAGTATTATTTTAATCATATTCCTATTCTAGTTGCAACTTATATTCTAAATTAGTTTGATAACTTTTTTAAATTTAATTAAACAATTTAGTAACTAGTTTAGTATTTGCTTTTCCTTTTAGTCATTGTTCTCTTAGGATATTATCAAGAATCTTATAGATATGAAACTCTATGGGTTGTAGAGTAGATGCTCGATTTAACAAATCAGATAGTCTTTTTCAATGACTAGTTTTCTCCCTGATGTGTTCCAAAAATTCTTTTTTCCTGGTGGATTCTAGTGAAACCCAAGTGGAATCTAGCGTCTGGCTTGGACATTTTGAAGCATGCTCATAAGCTTGATGAGATATCAAGTAAAATTAATTACACTTCTGTCCTGTGTCGTCAAAGCTTATGTAATGCGTCTGAACATATCTTAGAATATCAAAGTTCTCCATTTTGTAATCTCTTTTCACCATTTTGACTTAATACTCTACTTCTACCAGTTTAGTTTTTATCAACTCTTTAGGAAGATGGAACTTCCCTCAAAGATCAGTCTTCGCTCATGGTAGTTAATAGGATTAACACTAATGACTTATTTCAGATGGGACCTCTAAATAGAGCTATTTCCTTTGACATTTATATGATGGTGCTGCAGGGATACAGGTTCTCTTTTATAGAAAAAGAAATTTGTTTAGAATAGAGATTAAAAGATAGATACAAGTACAGACAATAAGATATCCTCCTCGAAGAATAAATGGAAATGCAGTTGTAGGAACTAATGAATAAAAAAATGGGCCTCTTAAGGGCCAGAAATAATGATCTCCCATTCTAAGGTAGGTTAGAAATCACTATGTCAGAGTAATGGCAATGAGGCGGGTTCGGGGCAGGTTTCACCATATCCGAACCCAATTCGCCTCTATAAGTACGAACCCTAAGCCGAATAATATGTATCACTCATAACAGAAAAATTAAAACACGTTTTCTCTTCGGGTGAGAAAGAAACCACAAGTTTGATTACTAAATTCACATTCATTTGTTTACTGCATACATGCTTAAATAGAATTGGCAACACAACTGCTCCCTGCTAATCAGGGGCATGATCTAGATAGTTTAAAAATAAAGAAACTGCTTGGAGGAATTGTTCGGTGATCATGAGAAACTACTTTTGCAACTGCTTGGTGGTTGATCCAGTAATGGCAAGCGGTTGCTGAAGTATCTGGAATTAGGTACCCGCTGTCTTTGCGATATTCGTGGTGTATCATTACTCCCCTCTTTATAGGAACCTTTCTAGCCAACAAACTTTCTTCTTTTTTTTTTTAGAAAATTATACTTGCACATATATATATTGTAATTTTGGTTGGGAAGAACTACTTGCATCGTGCTCCCTCTTCTCCTCCTCTATGGTATTGATGATGGGACCTATTGGCTTGATCGAATCGGAGATGTTGATAGTGCCAGTGGAAACCAGACAGTATGCATTTAACGTGGTCAACATGCCTAAATAACTATTGCCACCGGCCGAATTGTTATGAATCATCGCAGAGCCAAGTTGCTGTCCAGGCAACAAAGCAATAGGAGTAGGAAAGTTCATGAAATGCACCCCACTAGGAATAGTACTACCACTCAAAGATAAGAACGGCCACATATTATCACTCTCCATCATCATTTGGTTGCTGCTAGGACTCGCCACTGTGCAAAACATTGCCGGAATTGGACTATGATTCGTCGGAATTGATCCCGTGATTTGTATCAAGTAAGTGTTACCCATCTGGTTTTCTGATCTCTTTGTTGAAGCATCCTCACAGTAGGGAAGAGACATGGAGTTGATGAGCTCCATTCCGTCATCTCCGTTCGGCCGCGCTTGGCCAGTTCAGCTCGCGGTATGGCTGTTGGAGCCTTCTAGGTTCAACCCCAAGGCTTCCATTAGTCGCTGGAGGGTAGCTTCGATCTGGTGGAGCTTGTCGGCCATACCTGCTTCTATGTGTTTCAAGTTATCCTGCAGACTGCTCACACTGATCTCTAAGTTTTCAAGTCTCTGTTTATTGCCATGATAACCTGCTCTGATACCAATTTATAAGTTCCAGTCAGAACAAAAAAATTAAAACATGTTTTCTCTTCGGGTGAGAAAGAAACCACAAGTTTGATTACTGAATTCACATATATTTGTTTACTGCATACATGCTTAAATAAAGTTGGTAACACAACTGCTCCCTGCTAATCAGGGGGCATGATCTAGATGGTTTAGAAATAAAGAAACTGCTTGGAGGAATTGCTCAATGATCATTGGAAACTGCTTCTGCAACTGCTTGATGGTTGACCCAGTCACGGCAGGCGGTTGCTGAAGTATCTGAGATTAGGTACCCGCTGTCTTTGCGATATTTGTGGTGTATCACCAAACCTGCTACAAACCTGGAGCGGATTTATTATTTTTTAAAAATTTTTTGGACAGTATCAGATTTTCAGGTTATCTGACTGAACTTGACCTGGTCATTATATTTTATTAATATAAATATATTCAGCTTTGTATTTATTTATATTTATATTTGTAAAGATAATTATATATTTATATATATTTATATATCTAAATTATACATACCGAGTTGAGTTCGAACAAGTCTTGACAAGTCAAACCTGAATCTGCCTCACTCTAACCTGAGCCCTCCATTTAACGGGGAAAAAAAAAACCCACATCGAATCGGATTTGAGCAGGTCAATTAAGCGGGTTCTACTAAAAACTGCTATCCCTCCCATGGATTTCTGTCCATAAGATGGTCAAGAAAGTTGCTCTTTTCCACAACTCATATAAGAAGGTATACTGGTCACTGAAAATCATACAGTTTTGAGCGAGCTATATACCTAATAGACCTGAAAAATGCCCCTTGCCATGGGGGTTTCACTCACTTCCTCATCCCATCCCTCTGGATGGACAAGAGTTAAAGAGCAACCCAATTTGTACCAAACAAATTGAACATTCTTGTTCATAACTTCAAAGCAGTCTCATTTTGAATAAATGAAAATGTGTCTCTTCTCCTATAAAGCACATGATGCAGATATCTGGAGAAAGGAACAGTGGTGTGGACGGACTATCGCAGGGGTGGGTGAAGAATAAAGGGTATAAAACATAACGTGCTTTGAAGAGGAGCATTTGCTGTTGGCTGCAGAGATTTCCAGGTGGAATGAAATGTCAGAAGTTTCAATCTTGTTAATCCTACTCGAGCAATTGGGATAGAATGTCTTATATGGCCTCTTCTTGGGCTAAGGCACCTGGCCTTTTGGTTTGCCTTTACCTATAATGCAAAGGGTTTGGGAGGCTGTCTTGCGTTAAAATTGGTCTGCTTTTCTTCTTTTCTTCTTCCCTCTTATTTTCTTTATGTGTGAGAATGTTTTATCCTCTTCTATTGTATTCGTTTTCTTTCTTAGTAGATCTTCTTTTCTGTAGAAAATCTTAATTCTCCATTTTGGTTTCTTTTAGTTCTCCTTCAAGGATAAGATTACAATTTACTTGCGCTGCAGGCTTGTGGATTCAAGAGACATAGTGGAGTTGCAGTTGAAGCAGCTTGACTGTGAGCTAACTATCCGGAAAAAGGAGGCGTTGGCTCAACCACAATCTCCTGCTCCAATTGTTATGACACAGTCGCCAACTCCACCATCAGTAATAGCGCCGGCGTTTTCGGCCCCTGCCCCTGCTTCTGCTCCTGCTCCTGCTGCTTCTCCTGCTCCATCCCCATCACCTTCTCCTGGAAAATCAGCCAAGTCATCACTTCCACCTTTTAAGTGCCCCATGGCTGGTACATTCTACAGAGGTCCGGCCCCTGGTGAACCACCCTTTGTGAAGGTGACCATTGCTTCTGTTTGGTTAAACATGGATGAATAATATCAAGTTTATGAGTAACATTTTTTTGCTTCTTTGTGTTTCTTCAAAGCTCACATGAGGGGTTTTCTTGTAGGTCGGAGACAAGGTACAGAAAGGGCAGATCATATGCATTATTGAGGCCATGAAATTGATGAACGAAATTGAAGTATGTATTCACTTATTTTCTATTCGAACTTAAAGATTTTATATTTCATGAACTATCTGTTTGTTGTTCCCCAGCATCTTTATCTCTGTTGCCTATTTTATTTTCCTGTTCTCTTATCCTCTTGTTGTAGTTCTGCGGTTTTAATTTTTTTTTTTTTTGTGTTGCCTTTACAAAATCAAACGGGAGTTGGATCATGTTACTCCTTGTCCATCACTGTTTTTCATACACCTTTGTGAAGTTTCTTTTAACTTTTTTTTTTTTGTTTCTTCTAGTTAGTTGCTGTAACATCTGTAAAGAGCTTAAGTATCATAAATCATGAGTAGAAGTATGTACTTTTATCTTACTCAGTATTGCCAGCTCTCAACCACAAATTATTTATTGGTTTGGTGCACCAAAATAATTTCCACTCCTATATGTGTGTTTAGATTTATATATATTGTATAATATATATTTACATGTGGGTATAAATAGAAAACAGATATATATGTGTTACGGCTATATATGAAGCAAATGGAGAATAGTTAGTGCCATTGAATTTTAGTGGTTACATGGGCAGTAACAGCTATTTAAAATTGAATCACGCTGGGCAGGAAGGACAGAAGGATGGAAGTTAGGCACCAATACAAACTTAGTTGTGGTTGGTACCAAAGGATGATTTTTTCCTTGAGCAGTATGATGTTTAGTTGTAAAAACTCCTTTTTTATCTGTATTTCTACTAGTATAGTACAGGGCATCCTAATTGGTGTTTTGTTATCTCAAATTGAGGCGCCTTAGGAGAGTATGGGTGTTTAGCGGTCGAAACTCTCTTCCATTTACCTAGATCTCTACTGGTATATTTGCAGGTGGTCCTTTAATACACTTAGGAAGGGCCAAGCTAGTATAAAATAGATGATAAACATTGAATATTGTATTGGACCTACAGACGAACCTGAAACATTATGCATTTAGAAACATGCAACTAGCTTGGTGCAGGGGTTTAGAGTCATGATTTAGTGCGTATATATATAATATTTTTTCTTACTCTCTGAAGTAAATGACCGACAACCAAAGCAACTATAGCTTATTTTATGTGTCAAAACAGAAACTTCTTGACAGATATATTGTGCTTCTAGTTCATTTTTCTGCTTGCTTTTTGGTTCAAAGAAGCATCAAAAGAGAAAATGAATATTCTACTCCATATAGTACTATCTTGGACCATATCCTTTGTCATTCACTTTTTATCATTTTCTGTCTTACCTCATTAATTGATGAGCTCTAATTTTATTTATGGGGGAGTAGCACATGGTTTCAATTTGTTATTGTTGCATGTTTGCATAGTAATTCAAGCAGAGTCCTAGTTTGCCAAATAATCTACACAGAAGTTTGTCTTAACTGAACAGAGTATGCTGTAAAAGTCAGTCACCAGATCACAAGTTAGTTCTTTGTTCTGCTTTTTAGCATTAGTAATTTATAAGCGAACAAGTTGTGGACTACCCATTTCTTGACCAGTTCCACAATCTGGTCGAGGAAGGTTAAATTTCCATTCAACAAACTTACAGAAAGATATTTCATATACAAATTGTCTAGACATGGCTTTTAATTTGTCCAAGAGGTTGACCTTTATTCAGCGACCCGAATAATGTTGCAGATCCTTAAATAACTTTCAGTCACAAAGCTGTGTCAAGATTCTTGTACTTTTTCTCTAAGACACTGAAAGTAAATTCATTGAGAGGCAGCAACATTTTGCCAACATAATGTGAAAAGATGTTATTTACAGGAAAAAAACTTTATAAATCCATCAAACCCTCCATGTTGAATCAAAAGCTCTCAAGTAGCCTCCCTTGACTCTTTCAAAAATTCTTCTGTTCCATTTCCTTGTCTGTTTTATTCCCTCTTATCCCTAATTTCTTTCTATTTCTACTTGCTTTTTCCCCTTTCCCCTTTCCCCACATGTCTTTCTTGTCCTACGTACCGGTTACATCTATTGATATAAAAGTTAATTTTACATCTATTGTTTTGGTTGATTTCATTAAAGATTAAGGGAAATATCTTTACTAAACAATGGGAGTGAAGGTGTTAAGAAGAGCCAAACTCTGGTGCTTATGAAGTATCATGTAATCTGTAAAATTGTAGATGAAATGTTTTATCAAGCTTTTGATCCTTATAAGTTTGTGAAGAACATTAAGATATTTAAAACTTAGATCAACTTACAAGGTGTAGTGTTGACATCTCCAAACGCTATCTTGACCAAGGTTCTCTACAAGGTGATATTTATGATGATTGTTGTCAGTTGGAAATTTATTAAGAATTCTACCCTAAAGGAATGCGTTTAACAAGTTGAGGTTTAAATGCATGACTACCATTATTCATGCATATCCTCTCATATCTAAGATGCAAGACCTAACATGTTGTTATGCCCTCCACCACATACAGAACAAATTAAACATATTGAAGCACCTAGTTCTATTATTTTCAACAACATTTATCTTTGTCGTAAAAGAAAAAAATTTGATTTGCTGGAGGTCCTTTAAATGAGGATGGATCTACAAACTTGTCAAATTGTTGACTCCATGATACTTGGTTCCACGAGCTCCTAAAGATATCCTTTAATGTGTATTCTCTACGGATTTTGAGGGATTATATCTTTTGAGGCTTTAAGATTCATCAGAATTAGAGATGAGCTTTCACCAGTCAGGGGAGAATAATGATAATAATTATTTTAAAAAAGGAAACTGAAGTAGAAGAACCTAGTATGAGGAATTTGTCATAGTTCTCTAGAATTAATATTCTTTACGTACTACATAGTTATTTAACCTACCTAACAAATATTAGAAGTTTTAGGAAATTTATGCACGTCTTTACTAGGTTAGTTTTGACATTTTGGTGTTTGTAGGATTTAGTTTGTACTACAGGCTTTTTCTAGTTTCACAGGTTGGTTACATTTACTTTTCGTTTTGTAAGATGTACTTGTGCTCATATTTTGGTGTTTGTAGGATTTAGTTTGTACTACAGGCTCTTTCTAGTTTCACAGGCTAATTACATTTACTTCCCGTTTTGTAAGATGTGCTTGTGCTCATATTTTTTAGTGATCCTGAAAGAGAGTGATATTATTGAATATTATTCAGTTTGAGATCCAGGATATCTTGTTTTTCTCTCCTTTTAGTATCAAGTTCTCTTTTCCTTCTCTCCAACTCCCTTCCCTGTCCTCCACACGAGTTTTTCTTGCGTGTTTTCTTTTAATGATTAATGAATTATGTTTTCTTTTTGGTTGTGCTCGAATTACATTTAAATTTGCAATGTTCGTCTATCTGTAACTGGTGGTCTAAACTGCAATATTCTTCTGTTCAGGCCGATCAGTCAGGAACCATAGTTGAAATACTGGCAGAAGATGGGAAGCCCGTCAGTGTCGATATGGTGCGTTTTCTTGATTAGTTGATCACATATATGTATATATAAGTAAACTGATGTTGTGTCCTTATCTAACTGAGCTGGTTGATTTTGTTTACAGCCTCTATTTGTGATTCAACCATAGAGCTTTGCAGTCTGAGTTGAGAACACAAGGCTGATTTAGTCGTTGGCAATGTAGCGAGTTGGCGGCGTTTGTTTCTTTGTGATTCAACATTTTGGTTAGATTGAGTTGGTAGGTAGCCAAGTCAAACTCCCAGACTGTCCTTCCCCAAGTTCTACAGCTTAAAACATATTTTTCCATTTTTCAAATTTCAAAACTTAATTTTTTAAAAGAACTTCAATAAATTAAATCTCAAATTTCTTGTTTACGTGGGTGAAATATGGAGGGTCATACAAAAATTAAAATTTTAAAAATGGGGAAATCCTTTGTTATTGCAATTCCTAATTATATTCCCGGTGTGATGGTTTGTTTAGATTAATTAAAAGACAAAAGGTTTTTGTTTGATTAGTGAAATTGTTTTCCACTTTCATTTTATATGTGTATGTACTTTATTCTTATAAGTTATAAAAGTTAATTAACGATGAAGGAATAAAGTGAAAACAACGATGAAATTGAAAATTTTCTGAACCTTGTTTTTATTGTTTTTTTTTTTTTTTAAAAAATAATGATTTGATTATTCCATAAGTTTGTAATTTTTACATACTTTTTTATAAATAAAAACATGTATAAAGGTATACAAATTTAATAAATAAAAATCAATAACATCTTAATTTAACAAATAGAACATAGTGTTCTTTTGAGTATAAAATACATCAATCTATTTAACAAAGTGACGTGCATATATATATATATATATAACAATTGTAATAATACTTCCTACTAAAATGCATAGGAATATATATTCCAATTATAATCTATAATTTTTTTATAGAGGAATAATCTTTTTAAATTTATCTGTGAATATGGTAGATAAATTATGAAAATTTGGAATAATGTAATGATTAAATTTGAGGGAATTTGAATAAGAGTGAAAACCATATTTTTCTTTCATAATTCTTAAAGATTTATCTCTAGAATTTATTAAATTTGATAAGAATTGATTAATTTTATATGAATTCCTTACTTTAAAAAAAAATAATCTGCTGCATGCATTTCCAAAAAATATGATTTATGTTCATGCTAATCTACGGAAATGATTGGTTCATATACTTTTTACCAGGAAAGAAAATACACACTATTAAATTTAACATAAATATTTATCATCTTCTTTTTATAAAAAAAAAAAAAAATTGTGAATAATAACTTAATAATTTTACAAATAGATTAAAAGATGACAAATACAAATGCCGAAATTCAAAGCTTGAAGAAGAAAACTCTACTCCCTTTTATTATTTTCCTTAAGAAACTTGTGCTTGTTTAAATCAAAACAGAATTCATTCACTTTTGAAAACGCAATTTACAAAAAGAAGTTTTTCAATTAAATACATGTTTACTAATTTAAAACCCTTAATATATTGAATTACTTCGAAAATACTTCAAAAACTATATAGGTCATGCAATACAACATTCACTTACCTTAAGTCCTAAGCAAACCTTAATTCGAGTAGAGTCTCCTCTTATAAAACTTTTAGATTCCTTTATTTACTTAGGCATAGTCTCCCCTTATTTTTCTTTAATTTTCTATTGAGATTTGAATAGAGTCTTCCCTTATTATTATCACTTATTCAAATTCAAAATACTCTCACTTACATGGAAAGTTATTCCAATGAAAAGGGACTCGAATTCTTGTAGAACACGTAGCTTTAATTTCGGTAAAGTCCTGACTTAGTCTTTGATTTTTTATTCTTAACAATTGGACAAAATTTCAGGATTTTTTTATCACTTTCTAAGCAAAAAATGCCCTTAACAATATTCAAAAACTCATCTTAAAAGTTCATAAAAAATTGAAGCTAAAATCAAAGGCAAGTGCATGTCTTATCTCACATATTGGCCTTGCATTAGTTATGTGTTTTCTTCTTTATTTCCTTATCATTTTGCTTGCTCTCTTTTCCTTTTTCCATCTCCTTCCATCCCCTCTCAATTTTGGTAGAGTTTTCCCACGAAAAAACTCACACAACCTCACTCACAATAAACATACCTTGCAACTATTTCTCTTTTTCTCTCCTCTTGGCCTTTCTCTCTTCTCTTTTCTCTTTCTTTTTTCCTTTCTTTCCTCTCATCTTCTCATGCCTCTTTTCCCTTCCCCTCATCCCCTATTTATAAGTAAGGGGAATTCATTATGGTAGTAAGAGGGAAAACATGCGGCTAGCTGTAACTTTGAGACCTAAACTGCCTTAAGCCTTATCCTTATCCTTTCATGCCATCTCATGCTTAGTTCTAGGTCCTTCCATTCTTATCTACTTGCTCCACCGCCTTATCCACCTTTTACCATATTCAACACCAATTTTAGACTCATTTGGAGTTCATTAGGGTCCCTTTAAGATCACATAAACTCGTAAGGCCCAAAACCACATCTCATCTCTATTCCTTCACTTCCAACCGCCATTTCTCCCTTGATTCTAGAGAGTTGATATAAGCTCAAGACGATCAAAGAGACAACCAATATCCAACCAACACTACAATAACCACCTCCTATGATCTCCATGATTCATCAAACAGTTAACAACCGCCTCCCATGATCTTCATGTCATCTTGCAGTTTCCTTCAAAGGAGTTTCTTTTAACCACTTAAATAGGGCTTTGATTAGCAGTGAACAATTGCATTGTGTTTCTATATAAAGCATGTACGAAGAAGAATTTGACATAATTTTGAGTATTAATGAAAATTGGGTACTTTCTCACCCGAAGAGAAAAGTTTTTATTAGTGTCTTCTGATTAGGATCTAATAATTGGTATCAGAGCAGACAATGATAATAAACAAAGAACGGATCGAAAGTTTGGAAGCTATGCAGCTTGCAAGAAAATTTTAGTCGGATGGAGACCGGATTGGTGGGCAAGATGCAATCGATGAAAGAAACTTTGAGATGCTTGATAGAAGTGTTACATCTCAACAAAGAAGCGTCTAGCAGCAACTTCACTGGTCGAGTCAATCTATAATGGCCAAACAAGGGCAACCACTCCGAAAGGATAGACGGATTGCGACCACCTTCGGATCCAGAACAGCTCGCGTCGATTTTCCATCTTACAATGGTTCTGACTCAATGGAATGGCTCAATAGAGTCGAACAATTTTTTGAGTTTCAAGATACACCACAGGAGCATCAAGTGTTATTAGTCGCTTTCCATCTGGAGGGGGAAGGCGAATCAGTGGTGGCAATGGTTGAAAAAGACTCACAGGGAAGAAGGAAAAGAACTAGTTTGAACTGAATTCGTGGATGAACTTTAGGCCCAGTTTGGGCCAACAGAATACGAGGACTTTGACAAAGCCTTATCTATAGTGAAGCAAAATACGCCACTTAGGGAATATAAAAAGAGTTTAAACGTTTGGGCAACCAAATTCGAGGTTGGACCTAGAAAACTATGGTGGATACCTCATGGGCGAGCTTAAGCTTGAAATTGCATATAGTATTAGGCTCTTTTAGCCTAAAACGTTAAAGCAAGCCATTAGCTTGGCCTAGATGAACGAGGACCAGTTGGACCGGCAAAGACGATCAAGTCATACCAATCGATTCATGTTGCTTTCTTAGGTAAAACTCTATCTTTTGTGACTTTTTCTCCCAAGACAAGGCCTAGGGCTGCCCCAAAGCGGCTTCCATGGGACAAAATACAAAAAAGACACGCATAAGGGCTTAGTTTCAGTTGAGATGAAAAGTTTTCTTTGAGGCATCATTGTTGGTAACCACAATTAATGTTGCTAGAAACAAAAAAAGAAGGTGATAAAGCAATCGTGCCAAGGGAACCAAAGATATCCCTACATGCTATGACGGAGTGTCGTCAGACCGACGTATGAAATTTGGTACGACAATCAGGAAACAGAGAGTCGTGATCCTTATAGATAGCAGGTCAACTCATAATTTTCTCAGTGAGCAACTCACAGCATCCATGAGCCTGCTAGTGATGCCTACCAAACCCTTCTCTATTAGAGTAGCAGATGGGCGATCGATGAAGTGTCAAAAATTGTTTGAACAAGTTCCGATTAAAGTGCAATGTATCACATTTAATCTTAATTTTTATGCACTGCCTTTGATCGGTTTGGATGCAGTTCTGGGTGTTCACTAGCTGTTGAAATTAGAAGCAATCACGTGTGATTAGACTAAAATGATGATAGAGTTTGTTTGGGAAGGCCAACCACGGCGACTCTGCAATCTGGAACAACAACCTTTTCTACCAGCATTAAAGAAAGAGGTAAATCATGAATTACAACAACGATATTCCTTATTTGTGGTCTATATGGCAAAAACACATGCACGACCAACCTCATAAGTACATCCGGATATACATAAATTATTAACAGTATTTGGGGAACTTTTCAGTGAGCTAGAAGTGTTGCCACCGATCAAGGAGATTGAACACTAAATTACTCTTTGGGAAGGCACCGAACCCATCAATGTGAAACCCTACTATTATACTCATTTTTAGAAATCTAATATTGAGAGGCAAGTCAACAAAATACTAGACTCAGGATTGATCAGGCCTAGCACCGACCCATTCTCATCTCTTATATTACTACTCCGTAAGAAGGATGAAACTTGGTGATTTTGTACGGATTATCGGGCTCTCAACTCTGTAACAATCAAAGACCAGTTTCCTATTCCCACTGTCGATGACATGTTAGATGAACTCTACAGAGTTCAATATTTTACAAAACTTGATTTAACTGCAAGATATCACCAAGTACGAGTTCATCCACCAAATGTGTGTAAGACTGCCTTCCGAACACATAATGGGCACTATGAATACTTGGTTATGTCGTTTGGCCTATGCAATGTTGCCTCTACTTTTCAGGCTATCATGAACTCAATCTTCCAGCATTATCTACATAAGTTTGTATTAGTCTTCTTTAACGAAATTCTTATTTATAGCAGCAATTGGCACTCACATCTTGATTATTTCAAACAAGTATTTGAAATATTAAAGCAACATTGTTTCTTCATCAAGTTAAAAAATTGTGCATTTAGAGCACAAAAGCTCAAATACTTGGAGCATATCATCACATCACAAGGAGTCAAGTTGATCAAACTAAAATTAAAGCAATTGAGTCTTTGCCTCGAGCGACTACTATCACTGAATTTAGGGGATTTTTAGGCCTCATAGGATATTATAGAAAGTTTTTCCGACACTATAGAATGATAACAAAACCATTGACTGATTTTTTGAAGAAATAACAATTTAGGTGGTCTGAAATAGCTAAACGTGTTTTTTCAATAGCTAAAACAAGCTCTCTCCACCACACCTACTTTGACGTTACCTAATTTCAATGCTTCTTTTGTTATCCAGATTGATATTTCAGGAGAAAGGATTGAAGCAGTTCTTACACAAAATGGACAATTGATTGTCTACATGAGTCGTGCCTTGCGAATCTCTAAATAAGCATCATCTACAAATGCTAAAGAAATGTTAGCTATCATTATTACCATCAAATTATGGATTTATTATTTATTAGGTCGAAAATTCTATATACAAACAGATCAAAAAAGCCTGAAGTACTTGTTGGACCAACGTATTTCAAATCCAGAACAGAAAAAATGAGTTCTTAAATTATTTGGGTGTGACTAAGAGATTATTTATAAACTTGGTAAAGAAAATTCAGCAGCAGATGCCTTGTCCAGAAGAGACGATTCCCTAATTTTTCATGTCTTATCTATGCCTCATACTCAATTATGGGAAGATATTCGCTGCACTGTTTTAATCGATCCCTATATGCAACAAATTGATACAAAGGCTACACATAATCCAAGCCAACCTTACAGTGAAAAGGGAGGACTACAATATTCAAGCATCGCACTTTATTCCATCTCAATTAGCCATTATGATTCAACTTCTCCAAGAATTTCATAAAAGCCACAGTGCAAGTCATTCAAGCGTGCAAAGGACCTTCAAAAGATTATCCCAATAATTCTATTAACCATCCATGCACAAGACAACAAGTGATTATGTCTCCTTTTTGACACTTGTCAGAGGGTGAAATCAGATACCCTTACTCCAGTTGGACTTTTACAACCATTGTCAATGCCGTCACAAATTTAGGAAGATATTACTATGGATTTCATAGAAGAATTACCCACTTCTCATGGCAAGAGTACACTTTTAGTGGTAGTTGATCGGTTCAACAAATCAACTCATTTTACAACCTTAAGTCATTCGTATATAGCTAAAATTATTATAGAACTCTTTGTCAACACTATTGTCAAACTGTACGACATGCCAAGGTCCATTGTTAGTGATTGAGATCCTATCTTTATAAGTCATTTCTAGTAGGAATTCTTCGAAATGTCTAAAACTAAACTCAAAATGAGTTCTTCTTATCATCCTCAAACGGATGGAAAATTCGAAGTTACTAACTAAAGTTTGGAACAATATACGCATTGTCTTTGCCATCAGCAACCTCGCATTTGGAGTACTTATTTACCATGGGCAGAATATTGGTATAACACAACCTATCACTCTTCAATCAAAATGACTCCTTTTCAAACTGTGTACGGTCGGTTACAACCTCAAATTCCTATGTATCACATCAGTACCTCTCCAGTAAATAAAGTTGATCTCCAATTAACCAGTTGCGATGAACTATTACGTTAACTCAAAAAGAACTTACAAGCTGCTAATAACTGGATGCAATAAATTGCCAACTCTAAAATAAGAGACATAGAATTCAATGAAGGTGAATGGGTTTTTTTAAAACTACAACCCTATCAACAACATATAGTCTTCAAACGTGCATATCAAAAGCTAGTATGTCCCTTTTATGGGCCCTTCCAGATTATTCAATGAATCAAACCAGTGGCTTATAAACTTCAACTGCCGGTGCAATCTAGAGTTCACCCAGTCTTCCATGTTTCAATGCTATGAAAAAAGCTTGGTCTTATCATGCCCTGCACTGATAACTTACCAGACACTACTGATAAAGAAGATATCATACTACAACTAGTTGTAATTCTTGACACCATATGAATACAACAAAGGTCTAAAATAGTCGAAGAAAATCTCATCCAATGGCGTCACCTACCCCTAGAAGATGCCACATGGGAACCAATGTCTACACTGCAAGAATAATTTCCTACTCTGAACCTTGAGGACAAGGTTCCCCAATAAGGGGGAAGTAATGATACAAGCTCAAGACGGTCAAAGAGACAACCAATACCCAACCCATGCTATAATAGCCACCTCACATGATCTTCATGATTTATCAAACAGTTAACAACCACCTCTCATAATCTCCATGTCATCCAGTCGTTTCCTTCAAAGTAGTTTCTTTTAACCACCTAGATAGGGCCCTGATTAGCACGAAACAGTTGCATTTTGTTTCTATATAAAGCATGTGTGAAGAAGGATTTGATATAATTTTGAGTATTAGTAAAAATTAGGTATTTTCTTAGCCAAAGAGAAAAGTGTGTGCTAGTGTGTTCTAATTGGGATCTAATAATCCTTTGCCCATTTTTGTTTCGCATATTCTTTGTACTTTTAGCTACTTATCATCCAAATTTGGCTTCAATTAGACATTATTACACCCATCTATAAAGCTCATAAAAAGAGACAACTAGTACCCAACCCACGCTATAATAACCACCTCCCATGATCTCCATGATTCATCAAACAACTAACAACT